GGAGGAGGAGGAGGGGGAGGAGGACGAGGAGGGGGAGGAGGGGGAGGTGGGCGGCGAGCGCGCGCGCTGCAAGCCAGCCTGTGCCTCACTGGTCGAGCAGGGCCCGCAGGCCCTCGAGGGCTTCGTCGCCGTCGACCAGCCGCCGGGCAAAGGCGACGCCCTGCTCTCTCTGAGGGCCAGCGAGAGCGACGCCAAGCGTAGAATTGCTCGGCGGCCCACCCGGGCGTCCAAGAGGGTGGCGTCCAGCGGCGCATGCGCGGCCCAAGGGGGGGGGGCCGGGGACGTGCTGAAAGAAGCTGCCAGGGGGGGCGCCGTGAGCTCTGGGGAGATCTCCTGGCCCCCGCAGAGGCCAGAGGCCCCGGCCAGATGCCCCAGGATCCGTGCGGGTGCCTCCGCCGCCGAGCCAGGCGCGCGCATGCACCTCCTCCTTTTCCTCCCTTCTCCCTCCTGCCTCCTCCCTCCTCCCTCCTCCTCCTCCCTCCTCCCTCCTCCTCCTCCCTCCTCCCCCCCTGGCCAGGACTCCCCCTCTCTCGCCCGCCCCCGACCCGCGCAGCCCTCCCGGGCCCGCGCCCGGGAACGGGCGCCCAGGGGCCAGGAGCGAATCAAAAGGACGCACACGTACGTGAATCCACGCTGGCTTCGAGGGCACGCGTTGCGCGAAGGTTCGTATCGCGCGGCGGGTCTCGCAGATCGAGGGGCCGTGTTCGAAGGATTGCAAAAAAAACGAAGGATTGCAAAAAAAAAAAACAGGATTGCAATCCTGGTTTTTTTTGCAATCCTTCGTTTTTTTTTTGCAATCCTTCGTACATAGCTGGGCGCGCACGTCCTCTGTGGGCTCCCAAAGGGGCCAGGCCAGGCGCCGACCCGGGGAAGGTCTGGGCGGGCCTCCGGAGGCCCTTCCACGCCCGCGGCGCTGTCGGGCTCTCGGGCTACCTCGGCGCCGTAGACGCGCGCGCGCCCCGCCAGCATCTGCCGCTGGACCGTGGCGTTCCACGGGGTCCCGAAGTCCTTTGAAGGGGCCCCAGGACACGCAAATAAATACACACAAATAAACAGATTCCCTATATTTTCCCGTGTTTTCTGGGTTTTTGTCTTCCCCTGCACTTCCCATGTTTTTCCATATTTTCTGGGGGAATCGACGATTAATATTGTGTCTGTGTGTTTTTTTCCCTCCTGATCCTTGGCGTACTGCCGGAACACGGGGCCCGCCGCCACCTCCTCCGCGGCCGGCCTGGCGAGCGCGAGCCCCAGGAAGGCGGCCGCCTCGGCGAGCCGTTCCGCGGGGTCGTCGAGGAAGTCCTGCATGAGCAGCGCGAGCACCCTGCCGCTGGAGGACCCCCTCGCGTGCAGGCCGAAGAGCACGCGCTTGAGCCAGGATAGCGCCACCCGCTGCGGGGCCGAGAGGCCCTCGAAGGCAGCGGAGCCGGCTCGGTACTTCCTGAGACTGCTGCGCGGGGCCTCGAGCTTGTCGTAGAGCTGCGGTTGTTCCTTCTGCAGGTCGTCGGGGCGGGCGAGCACAATCGTCAGATGCGTGCGCAGGCCACAGTACATGAACACGGCGCGCGAGTTCGGATCTGCGCGCAGAGCTGTCCGCATGAAGCGCAGGCTATGTGACGACCCCTTCACGATCACCACGTCCTTCGCATCGTACCGGCGAGACAGGTACGGGAGGAGGACTGACCGCCACAGTGACAGCAGCTTCTTGCTGCCCTGGCGCCCGTGCCACTGCGCCAGCCTGCTCAGCAGCGGGGGCTCGCGCAGCACCAACGCGCCGGGCGCCTCCCCGAGCGCGCGCGACAGCAGCGTCGACCCCGTGTGGGAGATGTGGAAGATGACGTTCGGGGGCTGCCAAAAGTGTTCCAGGCCCGGCCCAAGGTGCCCCCAGCTCTCCACGCCACTCTGGAAGCCCTGGGGCCCTCTGGGCCTCGCCGTGGGGCGACCCGGAGGCCGCGGGGGCCTCTTTGGGGCTCCTGGGGGTGCCTTGGTCTGCCTCTGGCAGCACCCGAGAAGTGGGTGCGCTCTCCTGCGCGTGGCCACGCCGACGGCGCGCCCGCGATCGCAGCGAGCGGCGCGAGGTCGCCGCCGCGGAGGGCGTACCGGCAGGGGCCCTGGGCGTGCCGGTGGTCCAGGAACGGCACGGCCCGGTACGCCCCCTCGCCCGGCATGGGCACCATCACGGCCACCGCCTCCTCCAGCGAGGCCGCCGCGGCGCCGCCCACGAGCCCGAAGATGCTGAGGTCCGGCGTGTCGAGGAGGCACGCGCTGAGGCACGCCGCGCGGCGCTCGGGCGCCGCCGCCGCGCCGCCGAGGCCACACTCGGCGCCCGCGGGCTCGGTCGCGGCGCAGAAGGCCGCCAGGTCGGCGGGGGGCGCGCCGGGGTCCCCGCTGCAGCCGAGGGTCGGCGGCTGCGAGGGGTGCGTTCTGCCCACAGGGGTGCGGCTTGCCGCGCGCACCCTGGGGCGCGGGCGAGGACCTCGGCACGGTTCTCCACCGCGCCCTGCCCCCCAAGCCCCAACGACGCAGATCGCAGACCACACGAGAGCATTTCTCTGCTCGCGGCGACAACGGGCGCTATGGCGCGAGGAGGGGAGCGAGCGGCGGGGGGCATAACGTAACGCCCCCGGGCGCTCTGGGGCGTTACGCTATGGGGCGGAAGGGAGAGGGGGGTGGCGAACGCACGTTATGGCCCAGAGAGTAAGATCGGGGAGACGTAAGACCCGGGTAATTACGGTGGACTCGGAAATCCCCGACGAGGTCGTCAAAAAAATGACGAGGCCGAGCCTGCATTTTGACGAGGCCTCCCGCTGCAGACATCCCACAAAACTCCTCCTCGTCAAAATCCGAGTCGCGGTCGTCAAAAAACGATGGCGAACCCGAGTCCTGGCAAACCCGGGTCTTACGCTCCCCCGATAAGAGAACACTCTCCACCCCGGCGGAACCACACCCTTCGTGGGGAGACCAAAAAGTACCGATACCGCTACTTCCCGGACCTCTCCCGGGGCGCGTTCTGACCAGGATTTCGAGGCGAATCCACCGGTGGCGACGAGGGCCCCCCAGGAGGCCCAAAAAGGGTACGCAACACGAGGGAAGGGCAGCACTATGGGTACCCTCTTCCTCGTCTGAGTAACCACACCCTTCGTAGTCGCCGAGAGAACCGCGGACAGGTTCTCTCTACCAGCGCGCAGCGGCCGCCACCGCGGGGCGGCGCCAGCGCCACCCTGGGGCTCCGCCGCGCCGCTGGCCGCCAACGCCTCGGAGCACTGCCCGTCGGGCTGCGAGGCCTCGGCCGCGGGCGCGGCCGCGGCGCGCAGCGCCAGGCCCGCGAGCAGCGCGCGCCGCATGGGCACCGCCGCGGCCGCGGCTGCCGCGGCGCGTTGGGCCCGACCTCTGCGCGCCAGGGTCAGCCGACCTCGGCGCGCCAGCGGAGCTGAGATGGCTTGGGCTGGCGCTGGACGGACTTCCCGAAGCTGGCGGGGCTGGAGGCGCTGGCCGAGAAGCTGCGTCGCCCAGGTCCTCGGGCGCCGCGCGGCGGCGCGAAGCGCGGTCACCTTCGCGCAGCCCACGCCGCCCCTCTGGAGCAGAGCGCCTCCTCGGCCCAGACCGCGAAGCGCGAATAGCCCCCTCGCGCCCCTGCGGCGGACCTGGTGATGAGCCTGTTTTTCACCACCACCACCACCACCACCAAAAGTTGGATGGGGGGAAGGAGGAGGAGGAGGAGGAGGAGGAGGAGGAGGAGGAGGAGGACGAGGACGAGGATGAGGAGGACGAGGAGGAGGAGGAGGAGGAGGAGGAGGAGGAGGAGGAGGAGGAGAATGATGATGAGGGGGAGGAGGTGGAGTAGGACCCCCTCCCCCTCCAACTTGTGGTGGTGGAAAACATGCCCACCACCTGGGACAGGAGGCGCCCTGGGCGGGGACGGCGAGGTGCGCGAGCCCGTGGTGAGCGGAGCGGTACCTCGGCCGGCGCGCCGTGCGGCCTGGCCAGGGCCCAGAGTCCGCTCGCTCCCGCGGTCGGGCGTGCGGGGACGGGGAGCGCCCCTCTTGGTGGGTTTCCTTTCCACCACCACCACCATAAATAGGAGGGGGGAGGGGGTCCTCCTCGTCCTCCTCCTCCTCCTCCTCCTCCTTTTCCTCCGTCCCCTCTGTAACGTATGGTGGTGGTGGTGGTGGAAAATTCGCCGGCCCCACGGGCCAGAGGCGTGCTAAGATCTCCGGTAACTGGTTAAGAATTCTCTAGTTCGCGCGCGCGGGGCGGCCCCTGGGGGTCCCCGGACGAAAAGTACCCCGGCAAGGTCCTGAGAGAGTCCCGGGAGGAGTCCCCCAGAGCGCTCCAGGAGCGCTCCATGAGCGCACCAACAGGGCTCCGAGACGTCCCCGAGAGCCCCAAGAAAGGCCAAGAGGCCCCCAAGAGGCCCCCAAGATGGTACACGAGGGGTCCGACATGCCACAAGATCGCTCCAAGACGCCCAAGATAGCCCCCAGACGCCCCAAGAGGCCTCCCAGAGCACTCCCAAGAGGGCCCCCGGAGGCAAAATTCATTGTTTTTCCTTAGGTTTTTGAGAGATTTTGGAGCTTCCACCTTTTCGGTTCCCGACGCCCCAAGACGGCCCCAGAGGCCCCCAAGATCGCCCCAAGAGGGCCCAAGAGGCCCCCAAGAGGGCCCCAAGATGGCCCAAGAGGGCTCGAAGACGGCCCAAGAAGCCTCCAAGACGGTCCAAGAGGGCCCCAAGAACACCCCCAAAGGGGCCCCAGAGAGGGAACACGAAACAAAATTTCGCGCCCTCGGCCCTAAGAAGCCCCTACGAGGCCCCAAGAGGCCCCTAAGAGGCCCCAAGAGGCCCCCACGAGGCCCTCAGGAGGCCCCCAAGAGTCCCCCAAGCGGCCCCAGGAGGCCCCCCAAATGCCCCCCCGAGCGCCCCAGGAGTCCCCCAAGCGGCCCCAGGAACCCCCAAAGCGCCGCATTGACACCAGGCCCTCGGGCAAACGGCAGACATGAGACCGTATGGGCCGGCGGAATGAGCGAAGCGATTCAATAAGCGCATCACCTCTCCAGGTCGCATCGGCAGGGCCGTGTTTCCCCGAGCATCGCGCCCGATGCAAAGAACAAGCACAAGCAGAGATTCAGCATGCCTGCCGCCTGACCAAGCGCGCTGCCCCTGGCTGTGATGGCTTCGCGGGAGCTCTGGTGCACGCTTTCGCTACTGAGCTCGCCGCCCTGTACTACCCGTGACAAATCAAGACCGCCGTCACCCGAATTGAGCCTATTCAATGGAAAGGGTGGTTTCTATCGTGATTTGCTGAAGTACATCACAGCCGACCCCAGTGCCTGTGTCAGCTCCTGCTCTATTTTGGTGTCCTCACAGCTTGGTAAGGCATCGCGAAGATGCTTGCGGACTCGGTTGGTGCCAGCACTGCTCGCCACAACAGGGGATACTCAGTTTGGGGAATATCAGGTCGAGGTACTGGCCGTGCGTCAGTCATTATTCGGCTCGCGCACGCTGTTGCAGCTGCCCGTGTTCTGTCTTTTGGCGTGTTATTCCTGGATGTGGCGCAGATTTTTTTACCGTACCTCGCGGGAACTACTACCTCGATCGCCGCTCGACGATGATGCCGTTGCTTGTATTGTCAGGGCGGCAGGTCTACCGGCAAGTGCCACGCATGAGCTCGCAAGGCGTATGCGTGAACTGACACCCTACTGTTGAACAGCAAGTGGTGAACGGTACACTACATGCGCACACAGCAGCTCAGATTTCACAATGCTACCATACCCCCTGGTTCCGATGTGAGGGTTCCGACCAGATTTCCTTGCCACAGCGTTCGGTTTTCCCTGGGCAGCCTCTCGCTGATATATTGCGCGAGATGCTTACGAGTGAATGCATGCACGCTGTACGAGCACAATTGGACGCTGAAGGACTAGCCCTGCACTTGCCTACATACGAGCGCAATAGCGTGCAGGGTATAGTAACGGATGCCGACACTGCTACCACCGTGCCGTTGTTGGACGTTACCCTTGCGGACCACGGCACCATCATTGCGATTGCCCCTGCTTCCGACCTGTATCCCGCCATGTGCCGCGCGCTTACCGTGGTTGCAAAGGTGCTTGCTGGCAGAGGCCGCCTACTCAACCTCGGCGTTGCAACAAAAAACGGCTGCCTTTTGGCCTACCGAGGAAGAAGAGCGAAGAGGGCGAAACAGCACGCATGGCACGAGTGTGGTGGGCATGTGGTTGCGCAGATACAGCTACTTGGGACGGTACGGGCACCGATTGTCAAGCAATATGTACATCGTGGTTCAGCTATTGATTCCCAAGGTAACATGGGGCCCGAGGTCCGATATCGAGCCAGCACTGCCACAGCTACTCTGCGGGTGTTGCGCACTTGACTTTCCTCCACCAAGGCGCTTGCTGATCCGACATGTATGATGTTCGCCGACAGTTTGGTGTTATCGGGGCGGCTCTACAATTCGGGCGCCTGGGCAATGCTAACAACGGCGGAAGCCGAAATAGCCGGCGCTGAAGTCATGGAAGCCTACCGAGCTGCGGCGAAGGTTCGTTTTGTGGAAGCCGAATCGTGCATAAGTGACGGCCAAGTGCTGGCCGAACTCAGACGACCCCCACCCGACGTTCTAAGAAGAGCTGCGCGTCTACGACTGTTAGGTTCACTATTTCACACAAGGCCCAAACTTGCATTTGCCTTACTGCGGGCCGAGTGGCGCGACGCTACTCGGAACGTTTGCCGCGTCAGGTCATGGCTGGGGATGGTCATGGATGATTGCTCGTGGTTGCGTGCGACTGCAGTAGCTCGTGCTTCCCTCGCACCGCCGCTCGAGGATTTCAACGAATGGGAGACCCTCCTACGAAATCAAACGGCTTGGAAACGCATTATCATGATATCGCTACACTATACAGCCCAAATTCATGCTCGCAATGCTGCGGCGGCCACAGTGGAGGCTAATCCCACCAGCCCTTTGGGCGTGAGTGGTTTAGGGAGCCCTCTCTGTTCTCAACCCCTCTTCTTCCCCTTCGGGGAGGGGTTTACCCCTCCCCCTACCCCCTCCCCCTGGACCTGGAGAGGGGGTTTCGCGGGTCGTCAGGGGGGTCAATTTCGACTCCTGGGGGGGCTAAAAAAACGATACCCCTCACGAGGATTCTGGCCCCGACGGGGGGAGCCAGAAAAAAACCTCTCCTCTTATTCGAAGCCAAAAATCTTGATTGTACTACGGTTTCGGCCCCATTTTG